AAGAGTTCTTTTCACCTCTACTTTTTGTCTAGGGTATCACTGAGATTGCTTCTTACCCAAATAAGTATCGGGGAAGAACCAGTGACTTGTATTGTATTTTGAATTAGGACATTAAGATAAAAATTACTCCTTTGAGTTAACCCAGTGATGATTAAAATAATTCTTTAGTAACATTTGGTATAGTATTATAACCAATGCACTTTCGAACCTGTTATTTGTATTAGTAAGTGATGAAGTCTGGAAAGAATGTAACTGTATTTATCTATAATCATATGGTTTTTTTGAGAGCCTTGAATCCCTAAATACTTCTGCTTACTTGTTAATTTGTCACTTCAAGGTACTGTGCCTATTCATTTTTACCATTAATGAATTGGTTTGGAAAGTTGCAAGTGTTGCTCGACATTGCTGTTAACTGGTTTTGAATTAATTTGGTATTTACTTTTTTGGGGATGCTACATGGTGACTAATGTAAGAAGAATTTGGCATATTTTGTTGGTTTATTGTTGACCTAGAAAATTCTGGAATCTCTGAATGTAAGCTGAGTTATTTTACCTAGCAAATTATGTATTTCATGTAGTTCCATGCTGATTTACACATCACAGATTCTGAATGATCCTTTAGATTAACTCTTGCCTGACCAAGGGTCCCATCCATACTGATTACCAACAGTTGATAATGTAGTCTATGCTTGAAGAGCTCTAGTGAGGAGAAACTTACTGCCTCCCAAGAGGCCCATTTCATTTTTAGACAGTTCTGATTGTTAGGAAATTTTCTTTTGTATCAGTCTTAAATATACTTCAGTGCAGTGTCTATCTATTGTGCTTCATCCTGTCCTCGGGGAAGAGTAAAGCAAGTCCAGTCCTCCCACTGACAGCCCTTCAAATACTGTGAAAACACTTTTAACCTTCTTAAGTAATCTCTTCTTCTGGCTAAACACCCTCAGTTTATTTAATCGATCCTTCATTGGCATGTTCTCTAATTCATCACCCTGGTTACTCTTCTGGTTATGCTTCTCTCTTTCTTAAAATTTGGCACCCAGAACTGAACACCAGGGCAGAGTATAGCAGAATGATTATCTTTCCTTGTTCTGAACAAAGTGCCTATCTCAATAATGTAACCTAAGATGTTATTCACCTTTCTAGTTGCTATGTCACACTGTTGACTCATTGAGTTTGCAGTTCACTAAAACCCTTCAATTTTTTTCCACAGGAAATGTTGTCTAGCCATGTCCTCCCATCCTTTATTTGTAAAGTTGATTTTTTAAATCTCAGTGCAGAACTTTATGTTCAGGAAGCAAAATATCTGAGCGAGTAATTCAACAAGTGGTCTTGTATCTATGTATGTGAATAGGTAACAATCAGAGTAAATTAGAAATCCTAACATAAGGAGGTACATTTGGCATCATCTGTATCTGGAAGGCTTGGTGGGATGAGACTGATAACTAAGACATGGCTCTGGAAGGGTATTCTGTGTTCAAAAGGAATATGGTGTGCAAATATGGAATTATGGGATGTATTAATATGTGGGATGGGGGTAGCATTATTTAATAAAAAAAATAATAAATAGCTAGCATTTATATAGCACTTTAAGGTAGATTATGAAGAGATACACATTAGAAAATCCAAGAACTAGAGAAGGGAAACATGGTGAAAATCATATGAATGAAGATCAACAGCGGCAGGAGTGATACTGTAATGATATTGTGCTTTTCTTCATGAACAAGGAGATTACAAGCCTGAGGCATGGTGACTTGTGATATAATAGTAGTAAGAGACCCTAATTATTCATGCATCTGCTGGAGCTCTGTTTCTGCCCCCAGAGATTAGCTAATAATTTTTTTAATTGCTTTAATGGTAATTTCATTCTTTTTTGTTTGTTTGTTTTGGTTTTTTTGTTTTTTGTTTTTTGGTGAGGCATTTGGGGTTAAGTCACTTGCCCACGGTCACACAGCTAGGAAGTGTTAATGTGTCTGAGGCCGCATTTGAACTCAGGTCCTCCTGAATCCAGGGCCGGTGCTCTATCCACGGTGCCACCTCGCTGCTCCATGGTAATTTCATTCTTAAAAAGGTGAAAGACCTAACAAAAGAACTGCTGCTTTAGATCTGATTGTCAACAACAAGGAGGAACTGGTTGCTGAGGTGGAAATAGTAGGAACCTTGGGTGAAGTGACTGCTCCAAGATAGTTTGTGAGATAGGAGAAAAAAGCCAGGCACGATCTTATGTGAACCTTGGATTTTAGAAAAGGAGCTTTCAAAGGGTTAAGGGAAAGGATCAGTAAGATGTTATGGCTTGAAATTCTGTAGGGAAAATCAGCCTAGAAAGGATGGGAAACCCTCAAGAACAGACATTCTGAAGAAAAAAGAGAAAAAAATACTACTGAGGGAAGTTGTTGAAGAAGACCAGTGTGGATAGAAAAGGAAATTATCAAACAAACGTACAGACATAGAGAGGGTTGGAACTAAGCTGAGAGCAGGTAACAGAATGAATATGAAGACGCGTTCCAGTGTTATGAGATTTGTATCAGGAGTGATAGAGAGCTGAGGCTGACCAGTAAAGCCAAGGACAAAAAAAGTTGACCTTGATTCATTAATGACTACTTTTTTAGTCCTGCCCTCCAATCAGTTCCAAATGAATTATAGTGTCTTAACGTTGTTTTGCCCATTTATCTTCATTTTTTCTAAAATTTTGGCATGAGATTTTTACAAATGCTTTGCTAAAATTAAAGTCTGTGTTTATAGCATTACTAGTTACTAGTCTAGATACCTTGTTAAAAAAGGACATAAAATTAGTCTGATCTGGCTGGTTTTTAATCTCATGCTAGATTTTTAGTCATTACTGTTTCCCTAAGTGCTTACCACATACCATCCCGTGATAATATGTTTTAGGATTTTGTCAGGAATAGAAGTAAGGCTTACTGGGTTATAGAATATAGATTCTATCCTCTCCCGTTTTGGAAAATTGGGACATTTTCACTTCTCCAAATCTGTTGCATCTCTTACTGTCCATGATGAGCCAAGTCTCCAATATACTGGGCACAGGGCTAAGTACTGAGGATAGAAAGAAAAACAACAAGAGAGCCCTTGCCCTCAAGGAACTTCCATTCCATCAGAGGTGACAACATGTACACTCATAAATCTTTACAAAACTGATACAAAATAAATACCGCACAATCAGGGAGGGAAGAAAGGCTTTGTATAAAAGGTGGTGCTTGACCTGAATGTTCAAGGAAATGAGGAATTCTTTGAGGCAGAGGTGAAGAAGTCCTGCATTCTAGGCATAGGGTATGGCCAGTGCAAAACAGGAGGTAGAGTGATGGGTGAGGAACTGAAAGCAGGACCCTGAAGTATAAGAAGAGCGGTAATATATAATGAGGTTGATAAGAAGTCAGGCTTGTGCTTAAAGAAAATCACTTTGGCAGCTGTGGAGACTAGATTGGGGAAGGGTGGCACTTGAGACAAAGAGATATATTAGGAGGTTGTTGTGCTAGTCCAGGAGAGTGGAAGATGTGTTAAAAAGGTGGACAGATTTGAGAGAAATTGTGGAAGCAGAAAAGACAAGATTTCGCTGTCGATTGGTTTTTGGGGTGAGGGAAAGGGAGGCATTGAGGCTGATGAGGTTAGGAACCTTGGAGACTGGAAGAAAGGTGGTACTCTCAATTGATACAGAAAAGTTTAGAAGAGAGGGGTAAGTTTTGAGGGAAAGTTCTGTTTTGGATATGTCGACTTTGACATGCCTATGGGACATCCAGTTTGAGATGTCCAATAGGCAGTAGATGCAGCATTAAAGATCAGAGGAGACACTGGCTGTGTGTATAGATCTGTGAGTCTTCTGCGTAGAGACAGGAGTTAAGTATCTGCTGAGGTGACGGTGCAAGGCTGTAGAGAGAGAAAAGTACCTAGGACAGAGCGTTGGAGCCCACTCCCAAGAAAGAATGCAAGATGGATGATGAGCCAGCAGAGTGGTTCATACGTCATATCTGCCAGTTCTTTTAATGCTCTAGGAGGTACTTTGACTAGAGATAGTGACCTGAACTTATTGAGGACAATGACTCTTCACTTATATTCGGTTTCTACTGCCTGGTCCCGTTTTTTGGTTTCTATTTCAAAGAAAATGAGATTAGAAATGAAAGGAATTGATTAGTTCAGTCCTTTTTTAGTTATCCATCATTCCATCCCTCCTTCCCCTACCACCCTCCCCATCAGCAGTTATAGCCTTTGTTCAATCCTAATACCCCTAACATAAGTAGAGAAAGAACCATTTTTTTTTTGTCTTTAGTATTAATTGCCAGGAACATCTCATTCTTGGCTTTAGTTCTCCTGATGGAATTCTTATGAGACTGTTATGCTAGCATATTCTCTGTTATTTGGCTTTGGTTTCATCTTCTATTCATGATTTAAAAATCTGAATTGGTTAATGAGTTTCCTGTGCATCTACATCAGCCTCTTCGTGCAGTTTCTGGTTCTCCCCCACCCCCATTTGAATAATTTGTCTTTATTGAGCTGAAGTGACTAATATACATGTACAGGAAACTCATTAACCAACTCAGAATCTACCATTCCCTTCCCAATTCACAAAGCTCCCTAGATTTTGGTATGTTTGGTATGTATGATTGGTATGGTTTATTTTGACAAAGCAGACAATTTCTGATATGAGTCATTTTGAAACTGCACAGTAGCAATGTCAAAAGGATCACCCTGAGGAGTTTCCTAAGTCATTGGTAAGCCTTTTGCTATAGTTACTGTCTTTGTCACTTCGGGGATCTGTCTTCCCTACTATTGTGAATTAAGCAAACCCTGCGCTATGGACATGGCACATTTAAGATAATTGAAAACATAAATACGTGTATTAAGTATTCAGGAGTTGCTTGATGAGGAGTATTGTCCTAGTGTCTTGTCTTTATTAATACGTTGCATTTTATGACATTTATGTGTTAATATCAGTCAAAAGTTTTATTCTACATTGTTTCATATAGTTTTCTTGTCACTGTGTTTCTACTTTAGGGATTTATTCTTCAGTGCCTATTGAAGTGCCTCAGAATCATAAGCGTTTCATCTGTGACCTGACCCAAGCTGATCGTCACGCCATCTTTGACTATGTCCTCGAAGAGACAAAGAAACAGCGGTCCAGGTCTCAAATCACTGAAAATGACAGTGACCTTTTTGTAGACCTGGCTGCTAAAGTCAATCAAGGTTTGAGATAAATACTGTAGTTTCAAATATTTGTTATATGGTATAGTATTAAGATTATATAGTCATTTTAAAACTTCTTTAAAATGAGCTAAAATAGTACAACTTCCTGATCGATGAAATTCCATGTATATGATTGCATAGTACTTCTGAACAATCTTTATGAACTTGAACCCCTCCCTCATTCCTCACCCCAGTTTAATGCAGGAGCTCTGCTTCTAACTTCATTGCTACTTGGCCTGTTTATGTAAGACAGAATCTTTTTCCTTCTAACGTGTGTACCACAGTTGAAATGTCATTTGATGATGTACCATGAATGCTGATTTTTTTGAAAAGCATGTTGAGGATATGATCATTGTGTTTCATTCTTAGATGATAGTCAAAAGGGTCCAAAATCTCATCTTGAAATTCTGGCGGAAATGAGAGATTATAAAAGACGACGTCAGTCCTATAGGGCGAAGAACGTTCATATAACCAAAAAGTCTTATACTGAGGTAAGTGATGACCAGAAAATGATTTGTATCCCTTGAGTCCCTACTTTTTAAACTCTCCATAGGACCCCAAGATGCTGCAGGGATATTTTGGAAGGTGAAAAAGTGTAGCTGAGAAGGACACTTAGTAGCATGTAGCATCTTTTGCCGTCAGAAAAAGACCTTTTAGCAGGGAATGGGTTTTCGGAATGTGTACAACAGTACAGAGGGATTTTATAGCCTTAAATAGTTCTCCTTAGTAGATGATCATAACTGCCTTTATGAACTCAGCTGATTAGTTGATTGAGAACTCTTAATATTTTACTACTTAGAGGAAAATTAGAGTTGATTTCATATTTTATTTTGAGAATCACTTTCTGGTAGCAGCAGAAAGTCTTTGGTTTATATAATTCTCTAAGCTAATGAGCTGATTTTTATTACCTCAAATAATTGTGGTTTTCTCCTAGCTGGACCACAAATATTTATTGATTGGCTTTCTGTTTCCTGCTTCCTCAATTCTAAATCTGGCATTCAAGACTCCTAATGTGGTTCTACTTTGATTCTCCAATGTGCTCTCTCTGCTTCATTCTGGCTGGTGTCCTTACTGTTTCACAGGCTTGCAAAGTTCACTCCTGTGCTTTTGCTCATTTTGCTGTCCTAAAACATTCTTTGTCTGTTCAGTCCACCCCCTAAGGGATTATCTCATAAGTCCCACCCACTCTATGCAGTCTTACTACCTCACTGCCTTTTTTTTTTTTTTTTTTTTTTTGCTTTTTGGTGAGACAGTCAGGGTTAAGTGACTTGCCCAGGGTCAAAGTGTCAAGTGTCTGATCTCAGACTGGATTTGAACGCAGGTCCTCCTGACTCCAAGGTTGGAGCTCTATCCGTTGCGCCACCTAGCTGCCCCTCTCACTGCTTTTTATTTTTGGAAAATTTCAACTCTTTGTTATGAGTGCCCTCATATCCTGTCCTCTGTACCTCAGAACCTCTCCGTTCATTTTCTTCTTGTCCCATAAAAAGAGATGTCCTCTTTGCCAAAGCTAAGTTTTCCATGTTGATTTTCCCTTTATTCTATCTTTAATTGATTGCATTCCTCTTTCTTTTTGTTCACTACTTTAAAAATTGCTTAGGTCTCCGAGAGCCTAAAAACAAAGCAAAACAACCAAAAAAACCACACTCCTTCCACTCCCTTAAGCAGTCCTCCAGTATCTTTTTTCATCCAATCCAATTCAATAAATATTAAGTGCCTATGCTATGCCATGTACTGTGCTAAGTGCTGGGGATACAATTAATAAAAAGAAACAGTCCCTGCCTTCCAGGAGCTTAGAATCTAAAAGGGAAGACATCACGCAAAAAGAGGCAGTAAAGTGGGGAGTTGAAAACAGGCGGAGCAACAGATACGGAGTAAAGTGAGCTGAATTTGGTTTCTGCCCTTTATAAAGGAAGATACTGGGAGGGATTTGTACTCTACTCTACAAGCCTCCAATTGGAGGGAAGAGGAGACTGAGGGAGGAGGTATTGCCAATCAAGGGATGAATTTAGAAGTTTATCCTGAGAGGGGCATCTTGGAGTCAAAACTGGGCCAAGCAGTGGATGCTGCTGAAGTGGAGTAGATGGTAAGATAAATGGTCCATCCGATGGTAGTGAGTAATCTTTCACTCCCTTATTTTTAGAAAGAGTAGTCTTTTTTCGATGCTTATTGTAGGATAATAGCTTTAGAACTAGGAGGGACCTTAGAGGTTATCTAAGGGCTAAGACTCCTCATTTTGCAGATGAGGCACTGGGGCCCAGAGAAGGCAAATAACTTGCCCAGGAACAAGGGGGTGAGTTGGAGTAAGTTAGTAGTAAATTGGATGTTTGGAAGTCATTTGCAAAGAAGCAGTAACTAAAAATATGGAAGTTTCCTGAGATTTCCAGTAGAGAGTGTAGAGAGAAAAAAGAAAAGGGCCAAAGACTGACCCTTGAGGGACACCCATACTTGGGGGGGCAGGAGGAAAAGAAAACAGCGAAAGATATAAAATCAATAGCAGTAATAGCTGCTAACATTCATATACTACTTTTAAGGTTTGCTAAGTGCTTTGATGTGTATGTACATCTTACTTGATCACCAACTGTGAGATAGTAGTTATTATTATCCCCATTATGTACATGAGGAAAAAGACTGAAAGAGATTTGCCTGGGGTCATGTAACTATTTAAGTGTCTGTCGGTATCAGGATTGGAATTCTAGTCTACCCGACTTCAAGAACAGCATTTTCCTCCAGGACACTGGCTGTAAGAATAGGATTTGAACCAATCGCTTTTAACTCCAAATCTCGCACTCTTCACACTGTACCAATCTTTCTCATCATTTACTCACTAATATGACTTTTATCTCTATCACTTTATTGAAACCTCTCTAAGGTCATCAAAGATTACTTCTTTTAAAAAATTGTTGGTTTTTACTGTGTAGTAATATTCCATTCCATTCATTTATCTCTAAGCTGAACTGATAATAGCTGCCTAATCGATCTCCCTGTCTCCATTATCATCTCTTTACATGCAGCTGCTAAAATGATCTTTCTGATACTCTTGTCTGACCACATATGTAGCCATTCCCCAAATGATGAGTGCCCACTTTGTTTCTAGTTTTTTGTTTTCACAAAAAGTGATGCTATGAATGTTATGTAAACCAACAATGGTTTTTCAGGCATTATCATAGTCTTGACTTTTCTCAGTCCCTTAGCATCTAGACCTTTCTACAACATTTAATATGCTTGATCACTGTTCTGCTTTCATGGCACCAGTATTTTCTGGTCCCTTTTCCTCCTGCCACCTGAGTGTGAGTGTCCTTCATGGGTCAGTCCTTGGCCCTTTTCTTTCTTCTCTATACACTCGTTCCTTTGGAAGTCTCATAAACTTCCATGGCTTCAGTTGTCACTTCTTTGCCAATGACTTCAAACATCCAACCCTAATTTCACCGTCAAGCTCTAGTACTACATTTCCAACCAGATGCTGGAACGTTTCTATTTGTATGTCCTGACAGTGCATCAAACTAAAAGTATGTTCAGAATGGAATAATCACTTGTCTCTCCAGGCCTGTCTGTCCTCCCAGCTTTTCAGTTTCTGTTCATTGCATCACCCTTCTCATAGTTTATACAGGTTCAAAATCTCTGAATCATCTTTAGTTCTTCCCTCTACCCTCAAAACCAGTCCGTTGTCAAGTCCTATGGATTCTGTTCCCACAATTTTTGTCTCATCCTAGTTCTGGCCCTCATATCTCTAACCTGAACTAGAGTGACAGATACCCAACTGGTCTCACTCCTCTAGTATGTACTCTCTGTGTAGTTGCTAAATAATGGCTTTCTGATACTCAGATCTGACCATGTCCTGCTCAGAAATGTTCCCTCCAGAGTAGACTCAGTCTGGTAGTTAAGGCCTTCTGCATTCTGGCTTTAACTCACCTTTCTAAACTTATTTCATATCTTCTTGGCATCGTACAATCCCAGTCATCTTTCTGCTCTCTGCGTCTCTGCCTCAGTATGTTTCCCCTGTGTGGAATATACATCTCTACATTTCTACTTCTTCAGGTCCTTTTCTTCTTTCAAGATCCAGCTCATGTGCCGCTTCAGTTGGCTCTGAGCCCAACCCCTTACCTCCCCCCCCCCCAATAATCTCTCTCTCTCAGATTTTCTTACAGCATTTTGTCTGCTTATCTCCTCTGCCCTTAACACATTTTACTTTATGTCTTACTTGTATATATGTCTTTCCTTCTACAGAAACTGTTATTTTTATGCTTTTGTATCCCTAGTACCTTGTACCCAGTAGATACTTTATAAATAATGTTTTTAATTGACTTGTTATATAGTATAGTTATAGCCCATACCACATAATAGTGTATTCTTTTTTACTTAATGTATTTTTTCATTAACTGTATTATCTCTCTGAGATCATCTAGCAATTTAAAATTTTATAGTTATTTCCCACTATGTTTAACAGAGTACTGAGTACATAAAATACACTAATACATTTGTTGATTTCTTTCCTGGTTTCATTGCCTTTCACTCAGCTTATGTGCCTCTTCCGATCATTTTTTCCTCTCAGAACTGCTAATTGTTTTATTTTACTGTTTAAAACCTTCTGGCAATTCACCATTTTTCTCTCAGCTAACTTTTAATCTTTGCCCTTGATCTTTTAGTCCTTGCAGTTGTGTGTATACCTTCTAACCCTTTTTTCCCTAACATGCCAGCTTTCTTTGATGCTGAGAACATGACCTCACTGTCTAACCTATATGAGACTCTTCCAGCTCTGAATTTATTTTCCATATTTTCTCCTGTCTTCCCCAACCTTCTTTTCTCAACTTCAAAGTACCTTCTTATCTTCCCTAAAACCTTACGTAGTTACAGAGTGGGGAAGAGTGGACTCCGTACAAATTGTCTCTAGTTTCAGAATCACTGTGGACACTAGTTGAAGGAGATTGAGAGAGGAAGATGAGGTATGAAAGAAATAGATCGATGGTCCCTGTTCTCAAAGAATTTCCAGTTTACTTAGGAAGTCACAATAAATACTTGTGAAATGACTGAATAATTCCATATTTTACATATGGCATATAAGCCCCTTAGTTATCCGTCTTCTCTCATTTGCAATGAACACCCTCCCATATCCTCCTCCTCCTCAGGTGATTAGAGATGTGATCAGCGTGCACATGGCAGAGCTCAGCAGCCATTGGCAGGAGGAAGTGGAACAAGCAGAGGATGATGCTGAAAATGCTTCAAACTCAGCACAATCTTTGGGAAGGTGCGTGCATCATTTTCTTGGCACTGTCACAATGTTCTTCTCTGAGCATGTGCTCATAAATTCATAAAGTTTGCCATAATTCTAGATTTTCAGAGCCATTTAAAACAATTTAATTTTTAAAAAAATGCTTTTTGCTTTTACTCAAAGTATTTTTTTCCTGGTATACTACTATAATAATACTCTTAGTTTCTGCTGTAGGATTGCTTTATAACCTGTTTTTTTCTGTTCTGACCCCCGAGAAGAGGAGTACAAGAAAACTCCGTTTGATTTTGAATTTTGCTCTGGAGTAAATTATATTACTTAGAGATTTTATTGTTTAAAATATTTTGCATGGGTATATGGTACCTGCTTAAGATTTACTGATGGAGCAGCTAGGTAGCGCAGTGGATAGAGCACCAGCCCTGGAGTCAGGAGGACCTGAGTTCAAATCCCGCCTCAGACGCATAATACTTCCTAGCTGTGTGATTCTGGGCAAGTCACTTAACCCCAAATGCCTCACTTAAAAAAAAAAAAAAGATTTACTGGTTAATATTGCTTTCCAGAAAGGAGGAAAGACGATCAGCTTCAGTAGATTCACGACAGTCTGGGGAAAGCCATAAAGACACTGACCACTCACGACACAGAAGAGACAGAAGTCGGAGCCCACGTAAACAAAAAAGAAGCAAGGAGAAGGAGAGAGATAGGGACTTAAGAAGAAAGAGAGACAGGTAAGTTTCAATGCTGTTCTCGTAAACGATAATCATTGTTAATCCTATCTTTCATTGCTGGAGTACTTAACTGGTGCCACCTGGCTGCCAGGTGGTGCAGTAGATAGAATTCTGTGCCTGGAGTCAGGAAGACTTGAGTTCAAATTCACCCGCCAACACTTACTAGTTGTATGACAAATCACTTAACCTCTTTTTGCTTCAGTTTCCTCAACTGTAAAATGGGGATATTATCGTTTACCTCTCAGGGTTGTTATGAGGATCATGAGATAATATTTGTAAAGCACTTAAGTAATGCTTGGCACATCAGTAAATGCTTCTTTCCTTCCTTCCTACCTTATTGTTCAGTCATTTTCAGTTGTGTCTGACTCTCAGAGACCCCCTTTGGGGTTTCTTTGGCAGAGATATTAGAGTAGTTTACCATTCCCCAGCTCATTTTACAGGTGAGGAAACTGAGACAAATAGGGTTAAGTGACTTGCCCAGGGTACTAGGTACTAATCAGCCAAAGTTAGGTAAGACACAGGCCCAGATCTCATGGAGCTTAGAGTCTAACAGAAGGCAGAGGGATGAATACCTAAAGAGGTGAAGACTGAAGGGAAAAGGAAGGATTCAGGGAGGATTCTGTGAGTGTGCGGGGAGAGCGTTTCTCATGCACCATCAGATAGGATTCATAGAGGAGATGGCCTGTGAAGGGAACCTTGAAAGACGACATGTGTGTGCATGTGTGGAGGTGGCTCTAGGCCAGGCATTGGGGATGCAACTGAGATGGCAGGTCAAGAGCAAGAGACCAGGAGCAGTGAGCAGTCATCCAGTGGCTCCAGTCATCCAGGACTTAGAGGATGACTTAGAGGATGTGAAGAGAAGGCTAGGCAGGGGGCTTGGAATCTCACGGCAGAGGGCCTTGATTTAGGAGCTTCTGTTTTATTGGGTAGGTCATAGGGAGGTGCTGAAGGTTTCTAAATAGAAGAATGATGTGATGAGAGGAAGATGATTTAGGCAGCAGTGTAGGAGATAAATTGGAGAGAGATTAGACTGGACACAACCATTTAGGTAGGTGGCTGGTAGAGTAATCTAGAGCAGGAAAGGAGAATGCTTGAACTAAATGGTAGCAGTGGTATGAGAGAAGAGGGCCAGATGTGGTGGAGGTAGAGGTGAGGAGCGCTGGCCGTCAAAGGGATGACGTGTGAGAAGGGTGATCAAAGGTGATGTCATGGCTTTGGGTTTGATGTGGCAGTGCTCGTAAAAGAAATGGAGATATTAGAGGGAATCAGGTTTAGGTGGGGAATTCAGGGGAATTGTTCACATCCTTTTTGCTTCCTTCATTTTGTTGTTTTTAGTGCTAGCTGTAGTTTGCAGGGCCAGGGTAAAGAACTAAATCTAAAGATTGGTTAATTTTATTCTATTATAATAGCTCCTATAAGGGTTTTAGTGATTGAATTCACTAACACCTGAGTGATGTTTTTATACTAACTGTGGATGTCAAGTATCTTTATTATCTGTGCTCCATTACCACTGAGGATCAAGAATTAGCTGTATTCAAACAATACCATTTTAGCTATTTTGCTTACCCTAAACCACATGTGGCCTCAAGGCCTCAGGTTCCCCACCCCTGTCTAAAGTTTTGCAGTCATTCATTTCTTTATAGGCTCAGATTTCATCAGATTTAATCCTTAATTCACAGAATTGAATGTTAACTTTGTGATCCTTTTTGGTTAATAAAATGGAAATATTTTGTCTTTTCTCTGGTCTGTTCTTGATTATTGCTTATTCTTGGATTGCCATCTCTCAATATTGCTCTTAAGTTTTTGTGATATGGCACCTACTGTGCTTAAGTAATACTTTGACATTTCAAATTTCTCTTTTGCATAGCAAGAATTCTTTAGAAATTAAATATATCACCATCCCCTCCCCCTTTCCCCAGATAATTTGAGAGAGCGTAAACCTGTCCTGTAGTGCAGTATTCAAACACTTGGCCCCCAAATGACCCACAACACCCCCAAGTGTGACCCAAACCAGATTACTATGTAATTAGGTAATATTTGACAAAATAAATACCACAGATGATACTACTTTTGAAAAGGAAGTCAATATGGGACCCTTAGGGATTCTTATTATCTGGTTTAGTGGCCCCCACTTCTATTGGAGTTTGACACCACTGCTGTAGTACTGGGCTAAATTCTGCAAGCTATTTCTGACATGGAATGGGTTGCAGGGTCAGGTGAGGAATGAAATAGGGATAGGGACATTAAAGAGCTTCTGTATTCCCATGGTTTCATTAAAACAATTCCTGGAAGATTCATACCTAAACTCACATATTCAGTGGTGAGGAATGGATTTGATTATTTGCAATTTTGGTGTTCCGTTTCTCTGTTTTTGTCCATTGCTATGATTAATAGAGAGTTGATTCTATAACTTTGACTACTCTAAAAAATTAAAGAATTCATAATTGCTTCATAAGATATGGAGTAGAAAAAGTTAAAATCTATACCTAAAAATTTTGTTTTATTTGCCTTCCTATTCATATATGTTGCATTATGTTCTAAATGCTGACCACAGTTTAACTTAGAGCACAGTTGTTTTTCCCTTGTTAGAAACAAGAGGAAAACCTGTGTGACCTGTTTTTTGCTGAAGAAAATGAAATCTGTCCATTATGTGCAAAGTTGTAAAGCTGGCAGAACTTGTTTTCTCAGATACCTCAGGTCATTGTCTGTTATTTCCTTTGGTTCTCATAAAAAGGTTGCCTTTCAAGAGTTGGGTCCCCAAGTCTCAGAAATGACTGACTCTCCCCATTTGCTCCTTACAGATGCCCTTATCTCATCTGGGCAGCTGAATTATATCCTTTTATCTCAAACCCCTTTCCTGCTCAATGCTAGCTCTTAGTCCTCAGGACTATGGCCCCTAACATGGGGGCCAAATGAATTCTTGAAACCCCCTGTTTGCTCCTCACTCCTGACCTCGCTAAAGCCCTTTCATTTCTCATCCCTGATGGAGCATCTATACGTCTATATCTGTATAAACATTTAATCATATTCACTAATACTCTGGGATCCATTACTCAGCTGTAGCTGTTCACATTAATCTTTGAACAATTTACCTGCTAACCAGATTGTGGTCTTTTGCATTATCAGGATGGTTAATTGAATATATCTTTGTAGCTATTTTCTGTTTTTGTTGTTGTTTTTAGTAACAGTTTGAATGTTAAGTGATCTATTTGTACTGAATTATTAATTTTTTTGAAACAAACATTAAAATGTTTAGTATCTTATAATATCTTTTTATTTCAGGGATGAAGAAAGGCACCATGGCCATAAAAGAAGAAAATAGCAAAGTAAGGGTCAGGAAAATAAGTGGAAATATTTATACATGTGTGTTTATTAATGGTGTTTATGTAATATAAACTAATGAAGATAGTTCAACTATCTCAGCTACTCGAGGGACCAAGGAACATAATGTACTTATTTTTATCGTAATGCATTTTGCTGGGACTATTTGTAATTAAAATATCTGTGTAATGCTCGGATTATTATTTTTTTTCAATAAACATTCATTAATATCAAACTTTGTTAGTTGCTAAAAACTGTAATTATATACTTTAATTTCCTTACCGTGATGGGATATAGCCAGTTTCTCATTTCTGAATTTGTTGGGGAATTTTATTCTTGGTCATTTATGACATATTTTATAAAATCCTTAACCTGGTCTAAATAAGGAAGCATATGTTAGAGCAAAAGCCTTAAGCCAAGAAATTTGAGACTTGGCAGTCAAAGTCCAGTTTTCTGAAGATCTCATAATTTCCTTGTGCTTATGACCATTCAGGTGAAAAATTGGCATAAATGTCAAACATCTGGGACCTACATGGCAAAATATTGGCCTTTCATCTGGTAGCTCTGGGTTAAAAATTCCAGTGTGCTTCCCAAGTAAAAATGCAGCTTAAAATCTTTCAAGTTAGTAGACAGTGATAAGATAACTGTAGAATTTGACTCACCAATTATCTTAGCTTTCTTCATAACAGATGTCCATAAGATTTATGAGTAGAGACCTTGAAGCACATCCATTTTACTTGCTGGATTTATGAACACCTGTAAACAGCCTTAGATTAAATTTTTAGGATTCCTAATAGCAAGAGTTTTCCTTTTAAATTTTGTTACAGGCTAGGCATGGTGGCTCATGCCTATAAGTAATCCCTGCTACCAAGGAGGCAGAGGCAGTCCCTTGAGCAAGAGACTCCTGAACTGCAGTAGGCTAAGCTGATATTGGGTGTCTGCAGTAAGTTCAACATTAATGTATTGAGTCCCTTGGGGCAGAGGGAGCACCAGATTGCCTAGAAAGGGTCAAACCAGCAGATCAAGGCTCCTGTACTGATCAAAATAAAACTGGGCCTAGGAGTAACCCCTGCACTACAGGCTGGGAGAGATGTGGAGACTAAGACTTTTAAAAAAAAATTGTCACATAATTTACTTGTGGGTCAGTACTGTTTTTCTTGTGTTTTGTTTTTGTTTTTTAGCTGTAGAACAATTATTTCTTCCAGCACAGAAATTACTTAAGATTAAAAAGATTGATATTAAAACATTCATTAGACTCTCTATTTTCTTGGGAGGTAAATGCAAGGTTCTGGGACTCCTTCAACAGCTGAACCTGACATTTTACATTTACTTCTGCCGAGCATGTCACAAGATCTCCTAGCTAATCAGGCATGGCTTTTAATTATTCAGTTTTCAAGATGGTCCTGTCAGTGGTCATCTACTTATTTTGAGACATGTGCTAAGATGGATGTGGCCCGCTGGGCAGCTGGCACTTGACTTCAAAACATCCATTTCTCAGAATCAGTATTTCTTGACCTCAGAGAGGAAGGAAAAAAAAAATCCAGAAAGACACCAGAAGCAAGCAGTTACTGAGTTGGGCTTGCCTTGGAAAGCGCATGTTCACGGTGCCATGTACTTGTAACTACCGTTGCCAGTGGGGGCAATGGAGATGGGGACAAGCGGGGGGAGGAAGATCAAGGGGAAAAAGCTGGATGGATCCCCAAAGTAGCAGGGTCCAAAGAGTCCATGCATTCATTTAAAGGGCATCATTTGAATTTCTTTCTCACTAGAATGTCTGTGTTTTACCAACTATAAAACAAAGTCTTTATGTAAAGGTTACATTATAAATAGTAAAACTGAATGGCTAAATGTCTTAGAAAAGAAAAAAATAAGTGGGAATGAAAAGAAGGGAGAGATGTGAAAAAAAAAAACCAGTGTAGAGAAGAGGAAACATCTAAAATGACACAAAATCCAAGTTGTAAACAGAGTATATATAAAAATGTCTGTATAAAATGGATGTCTGTGAAACATTTAATAAAATTAAAATTTTAAAGTATGTTCAAGAGGCTACCTTGAAAATATTAGTGCTATAGGGACAGCTAGGTGGCGCAGTGGGTAGAGCACCAGCCCTGGAGTCATGAGGACCTGAGTTCAAATCCTGTCTCAGACCAGATGCTTCACACCGTCTGTGTGACCTTGGGCAAATCCCTTGATTGCAATTGCCTCGCAAAAAAAGAAACAAAAAAAAAAGACAAAGAAAATATTAGTGCTTTTAAGCTGTTATCAGTCATTTTATATTCATTATTTAAAGAAAGATTGAGAATTCCCAGAATGTGGAGATTACAATAATTTCTATATAAACCCTACCACTGATATAAACATCAAAAAAGGTCAAATAATTTATTTGATAATGGGTTGAGTTTAAAACAATTTAAATTTAATTTTTCCTATAGCAATTAATTGTAATAGAATTTCATTTTTCAAAATAAAATAATACTCTGGAACAGGTACTTGTGATGTTTAATTCTTTATAAGAGCATTAATCTCCCTTTCCGATTAGATAATGGAAAGAGCACTTACTTGACTTTAAGAGTTAGGAGAACTGGGTTTGAGGCTCAGTGCTGCTTCTTCTTACCAGTTTGACGACCTTAGGCATATCATGTAACCTCAGAGACTCAGATTTGTAAAAATGAGAACAATGTGCTCACTTAGAGAAATTATTGTGAGGAAAATGCTTTGTAAACCTATATAAATGTTAGTTTTTTATTCCAGATCTAAAATTTCTGATCCTACTTTTAAACCCTCAACAAAAAAATCAATTCAAACAGAATAATATATATTTTATCATTCTGCTTAATAATTTGTTTCCTGTTGAGTAAAACTGATTTTATTTATTCATAAGAAATTTGAGAGGTTCACAGCATTTTAACAGTATAATATGGTGCAAAATGTGGAGTCTGTGGAGTGCTGTGCTTGAGATGATTAACCCTGTTACAGGAAGCTTTTTCTGATCCCCTAGCTCTTGGTGTCCCCCTTTTCTCCCCCCTCCCCCCAAAAATTTAGATTGTATTAATGTTGGATGTGTGTATATATACATATGTGTATATATATATATATATATATATATATATATATATATATATATATACACACACACACACACCTTGAGAGCAGGGACTTTCACTTTTTGTCTTAGTAGCCCAAGGGGTTTGTACCATGCCTAAGACATAGGAGAGACTTTAAAACATTACTTGCTGACTAGCAGGCACAGAGCCACAAGCACTGCCCAAACAATGCATGGCATTTCTTTGTCATGTTCTTTCCAGAACTGAAGTAGTTAACTTTCATTACTCCTAGATTTTACTTTCCAAGGTGAGGCAGATAATCTCGGAACTGTGGGGTTTCTGGAGAGATGTGGTGGAGACCAGTGTGAACTGAATGCCTGAATGATCTGACTGACAGCATCCACTATTTAAGGCTCATGTGTCAAAACCATCAACTTTGGTGTGGAAGGTGCTTGAGATAGGGTTGTCCCCACAAAGCAGAAAAAGGAGCCCTTTACTGACAGGTGCCAACCCTATCACTTAGGAAGGCAGAAAAGGAGGTGGGTGGGTCTCTTCCAAGGTTCTCCAACAATAGGAAGCTGTTTTACTGCTCCCTGACCTCTCATAGTTGCTCTTTGGTTGATGGTGCCATCAACCAATCAACAAGTGGCATTGCTTTTCTTATCCTTTTTCTTGCATCTTCCTTTGTTCTATTCCTTTTTTATTTTCTCTTCCTTGGTCTTAGGACTCCCAGCAGCACCTACAGAAGAGTGTAATTTCCCTGGTGGCACCTAGGATTAAATGGTTTGTTGATCATTGGAATAAGACCTGCTCCCTGGGCAACAGACTTGTCCTTTAATGATTCCCTGTCCCTGTGTCTCCTAACTCCTATCTCTGCTGCCCTTGGGCAGTGCCTACTCCCTACAACATAGTTTTAGGCTAAGTAAGTTATGGTCACCTCCAGGAATGAGGTAACTGCTTGCATAGGGCAGGCAGAGATACACTGTGTGTGTGTATGTATGTATGTATGTATATACATATATTTATGTGTATACACTATATATGTATTGGTACATATATACACTATATGCAAATATAAAAATATATGTGTAGATACATATATGTATGAGCAGTGTCACAAAAACTCAGGAGAGAGCATCTAGGAGGAAGGGTAGTTAACTGTCAAATGCAGAACTAAAGGCAATGTATTCAAAATAAAACCAAAAGTTGGAGAAAAATCTTTGTGCAAAGTTTATCTGAAAAAAAATCTGACATCTAGAATTTATAAGGCCCTCCTATAAATCTGTTAGCATCATGTTCATTCCCAAGACAAGTGGTTCAAATGACACAAATAGGCAATTGTTACAAGAAGAAACATATGTATATATGTGTTTATATGTCTAGGTATAGACATATATAGACACACGTACACAGAGTATATCTTTACTTGCCCCATACAGATAAACTGCATGTGTGGTTATATGTATATCCATACATATGTGTATGAGTATGTGTGTGTATGTATACATATATATGTATATGTGTGTATATTTTTCTCCATTTACATAGCTCCAGGTAAGAGGGTCTGAGGCCCCCTATCCCCCCTGCCAAGTCCTCCTCTCCAATGTCAAACTAGTCTAGAAAAGAGCCCTTCCTAAGAGAATGGTCCTGATTGATTAGTGTTCTTTTCACTGCAAACTAGTCCTGGCTTTGGAGCCACTCAACAAAATCAATCCTCAGCACATGGTTGTCAGGCTGGAGCCAGCTCCAAGGCATCTATGCATGCTTCAGTTAAAGTGCGCTATGCACTTCCATTACATGTTACCATGCCTTTTGGAAGTAGACCCCCCAGTCTCTTCCATGGAGCATTCCAATGGAGCATTACTTCAGTCAAGCACCCTGTACGTGCTCATAAGAACTGGGTTTATTGGCCACTCTCCTGTTCTGTACAGGTATATACTGGATAGACACAGAATGAACACAACATAGCCTTGAAAGGGAAGGCTTCCTATAGAAGGGGGCACTTGAGTCGCGAAGGAAGTCAGGGATAATGCAAAGGGACACTGGAGAGGCAAGAATGGGCCAGGTTGTGAAGTGCTTTAAATGACAGAGGTCTTTCTATTTGATTCTCAAGGTATTAGGGAGCCACTGGAATTTTTGGGGGCGTGGGGCATTTGGGGTCAAGTGACTTGCTCAGGGTCACACACAGCTAATAAGTGTTAAGCGTCTGAGGCCAGATTTGAACTCAGGTCCTCCTAACTCCTGAGCTGGTACTCTAACCTAGCTACCACCTAGCTGCCCCCCACTGGAATTTATGAAGGGGTTGGGGTAACATGGTCAGATGTGCGGATAGGGCTGTCCCAACTCAGACATGTATTAGCTGCAAGTCACGTAACTTCTGTGCCCTAGGTTCCTCATTTGTCAGAGAGGGCCAGACTTGACCTTTGGGGTCCATTCCAGCTCTAAATCTATCATCCTATGACAGGGTTGAAAAGAAATGCTTTAAAATGATGGGATGTATCTGCCCTTGCCAAGTCAAGTTTGCATTTTGACGTGGAAAATTATGAGGAAACAAAATCTTTCATTCCCAAGCATTATTTGCCAAATTTTTATCATCTTATGAGAAGCAAAATCCCTGTACTGTTTCCTCTCCTTTTTCTACTTAGTCATGGAACTTGTGACTTCAGGTACTCAGAACCCTCCTCCTTTCTCGATACCTCAGCCTGCTTTTAGGGAGCTCTGGTATCAATGGGAAATTAAGTAAATGTGATGTTCCTTCCAGCAATATTTGCCTCTTAAACCTTCTCTCTCATAGGGGAATAAGTGATTGTCTCCATTTAAGGGAATTTAAGAAATGGGGGAGATTTGATGGCAGCTAGTCTCCTGGAATGCTCCTTCTAGGATATACCCCATGTCTGAGGTTAAGACTGACCCTGGTAGAGGGGGTCAGGTTTGGGTTAGCACCCTGTATTTGAAATATACTTCTTATCATGTTTGTTTGTTTGTTTTTTTAAGGAAAATCACTTGTCTATGACCAATCTATAATATGAGGATAAAAATATAGTAATACCTGCCTCTCTTGAACCAGAATAAGAATTAACAAGGAAGTATTTGTAAAACATTTTAAGGTTTTCAGAGGCAGGGCACTATGTAAAGAACATTAGTATTTCATTTTGTAATGTAATTGACATCAAACCTTAAACCGTAACCTTATTTACTCCTG